ACTCCTATTTTTTCTGGTTGGAATTAGACATCAAGCAAGTAACATTACCTGACATGTTAGCCTAGTGCTCACCAGAATCTTTATTTAGTAAATTCAGAATTTGATTGTACTGTGCATCAGTAAAGTAGTATCCCTTGTTCTCAGCTATTGTCTGTCCATGTCCATCTACTTGAGAGCATGATCCAACATCTGCTTGATTCACAGATGCAAGGGGTTCTCTCCTCCAATTATCTGGCCTTCCTCCACCATGATTTTGATTCCCATTACCAGTATTTCTCCAGTTGTCAGAGTTCCTTGTACCCTGCTTCTTCTTTGGAACAAAATCTGATGGATAGCCAATAATTTTGTAACAATTCTCCTTGGTGTGACCCTTCATCCGGCAGTACTCACATTGAAAAAATTGTCTTTTGCCTCGAAATCCTTGTCCCCTTCCTGTTGCTTGCATAGCCAAAGAAGGATCACCTCTGTTAGTCACAATATTAGCACCCACACTCTGCTGACTTTCATCTTGTACAATCATTGCATAGGCCTGATTTAGCGTAGGTGCAGTTGTCTTCATGAGAATTTATCTTCTCGCCTGATCATAGGACTCATTCAATCTGCTGAGGAATTGCATAACTCGTTGTTGATGTAGTTGTTCCATATTTTCCTTAGACTTAGGGCATCCATAATTAGAGAAAGGGAATAACACATCATACTCATGCCAAAGTTCCTTTAATTTTGTGAAATAGACTGAAACTAAGCTAGTTCCCTGTGAGAGAGTTGCAATTTCACGATGCAGTTGAAAAATTCTTACTCGATTGACCTTATCGAATCTCTCCCGTAGATCCTCCTAAACGAGATGAGCATCTGAAGCATACACAATGCCACCAAGAAGGTCCTCACACACAATGTTCATGATCCATGACAAAACAATAGCATTACAGGTCTTCCATTGCTCCTGTAAATCAGTTATCTTGTAGGATTCCTTTTTGCATGTGCCGGTCACAAACCCTAGCTTCCTTTTCCCCAAAAGTGCAATCCTCATCGACCTACTCCATAACCCATAGTTTTCCGACCTAGTGAGCTTTACCGGAATTGATACAGAGCTCGGAGTGTCTGAAGGACCCAAAAACAGGGGATGTGTGTGGTCAATTGTGTTCTCTCCCATTATCGTGTCAATATCAGTAATTGATCAAACGAAATTGAGAGATTTAGGCCAGCAATCAGTTTGAGAGTGTCACAACGTGAGATTCCAGTATCTCCCGCTCTGATACCATGCTAAAATGCAAGAGATTTGGAGGTGTAACAATGGCAGAAGTTGAGAGAGAGAGAGTCGGCTGAAGAAGAAATGAATCACTATCTTATTGAAGATGATAGCCGGTACATTTATACACCTAAGCTATCCAACTAACTTTAAATTAAGCAACTAACTATTGGACAACTCACTAACAGCTGTCATCTAACAGAAAAGACACGTGACTAATTAATACATGTGCTATTCTATATTACAATAAGAATCGAGTATCTTTATTAATTAATAGTATAGGTTTTTGTAATCATATCTTTCCTGATTCATTTTGTGTATTTTGGATTTCAAGAATCGAGTATCTCTATTTTTATTTGAAGGATTGATCTTATTCACCCCGTCCCCCGCCTCTTAAGAATTTTTTTTTTTGTAAGCTCGCTTTGTGATGCTATTGACTGTCTATTTTACATTGTGTCTAATACAACTAGTCATACTTGTGTGAGGGTGGTCATTATATTAACCAGTGACATTTGTGAAGCCCACAATAAATCATCTCTTTCTCTCTTTACGGGACATTTGCACAATAGGATTATTTCATCCGCTATTTAAATTATGTCCCATTAATTTAAAATTTATAAGAGTAGATTAGGCGAGACATAATTTGCTCAAATTTATGCCGGAAGCATAACCTTGTTCAAAGTTATGCTGGATCGGTATCACTTTAAACAAGGTACGTCCCGCCCCAATTTTTTTTTTTTTTTTTTTT